AGATTAGTATTCGTAGTTCCAATGTATTCACTGTCTCCTCACACTAAATTACTAAACAGAACAACTAAAAAATACAAAAAAATCTAGAAAACATGTGACCCTGCAAATTAGTCAAACACTTACCAAGCAGCGCAACACTTACCAAGTAGTGTTAGCATCACAGTGCCAAATACCGAAGTCAAGGTTATCAAACACATCATACTTATCAACACAAAACTGAGTTTATACTATATAAGGTGGTATTTCCTGAGAAGGCATCTTTGATGTTCCAAGAACTTTGCGTTCTCCAGAAATTTTCTAAATACCATCTCAGTCATGAGAAACGTAGAGATCAAACAGTCTTGCGATAAAAAGTGTGTGGAATTTGTTTTCATGTGGAAGAGCCTATTGCGATGTATCCACAGTTTCATTTCCAGGTTATAACCTGGCTGTATCTCAACGTTATGACATCAGCGAAATGTTTACTCTATAGAGTAAACATTTCGCTGATGTCATAACGTTGATATTATACTTATTTGGTTTGTATATGACATCTTACAAAGCAGCCAATCTAACGAAGAATAACAGGCCATCCTATGATTAAGGCTAAAGTGCCATGATTATGATGTAAAAGTAATTTCGCAATCCGGTGTTTCCTGAAATCAACAATCCGCATAATAAACTGAGGTCCCTCTTGGGCTGGGCGCAAACTGCATCAAACACGCCAAAGCACGACTAAATAGATTTTCTATTTCTGTGTTTCTATATTGCTTAGTTTAAGCGCCTTAAATCGTTAAAACATGGTGCACGTCATCCCCTACACACCCCTGATGGAGTGTGGAAAAGGGTGAACAAGTGTAAAGGTAATGTCCAAAAAAGAGGTCTTAGGATTCGTTCGATAACATTTCATTTTTGGGCTACATTTGCCAGACAGTTGAGGAACATCTAAATACGTTTATTTTTGCGTCTTGTGTTCGTGCAGTGAGCGCAAACTGCATTTACTCTGGTGCATCAGACGCCTTAAGACAAAACGTCTTTGCATTTCTCAACTGATACCGTGAACGTTCTTGACGTCATCTATGACGTTCCTGTACGTCATTGGCTACGTCATTGTTTTATCCGTATCCTGATCTCCTGCTCGTGAGGCTGCGTCCAGCTATAAAACTTATCTTTCATCTCGTCCGCTCACGTGGTGGTTTGTCCGGAGATGAACATCGTTTTATAAAGAAGCGCAAAGGGAATAACCCGCACCCATAACGGGCACTGATACGATCAAGTTATAGGCCGAGTTTGCGAAGCACCGAACCAGTCATTCAAGATGTTTTAACACATATTTCAATGTGCTTTGTTACCGAGGATCTGATCTAGATAAGAATATGATGTGCATATAGATATCTAAATAAATATATTTTTAATGTGGGTTTAGTCCAAAAGTATGAGTATCCTTTGGCAATTGCTCCTTTGATTCCATATAGGCCTACATAGTCTATTGTGTTCAAACTGAATGCTTTCTTTGATTTAAGTTTAATTGTTTACTTGTAGACGTACAATGAGTTTTACTACCTTTACTTGTTTTCGGTTTCTTAAAAATCATAGATAGTCATTCACAATAGTCCCTTTAATAACAACAAATAACATGGTAAGAGACCAAATAAAAAATAACGTAAATTACCAACTAAAACGTTTTAAGGGAGTTTTTATTAGGTTTAGGTTAAAGACAAAATTGGAGATATCCATGAAATTGCTTATCCATAACCACCAATCGGCTAAACGTATCACTGTAATTCGTTCCTTACATAGATATCACTGTTTACAGTTTTCTTGCACCAGTTAGTAGGAAAATCCGCCATCTTATCTTTTTCTAGGTAGTAATGCGTTGAGCGACAAAACCATAAGGATAAACATAGTTTGATTTACAGCTTCTTAGCAGAAAAGCACTTCCACAAAACTGTAACGAAAATCTACCGGAATGGAAAATAATTGATCAGGATATAGCAGGAAAATCTTGATAAAATACAACAAGGTTTTCTAATTGGATTTATAATTCCAGGTAACGGTAATTTAGACTGTTGCTGAGTAAAATGACAGAGTTTGGATACTGCAAGTAGAACAATATATTTTAAAGTATTATATTTTTGGTTTTGCCTAGAGCTTCTTTCTCTCAAACGCTTCACTATTTACAAATACACAGCATTTATTTATATCATTTTAGGATGTGTTTATAGTGTTCACTTAACACACTATTAAAATTACGAAAAGACAATCGCCAACTTACAGATATACAGTGTAGGCTATATATAAAGTCCCGCACGGGCTATATATTTTATAAACGACAACAGATAAATCAATAAGATTTGGTACATCAACACCACACCTAAAAATCTACTTTTTCATGGAACTATGAATTTTCTGCCTTTCATGGGGACAGTCCCGCAAGGAGAGAAGGAAATTTTAAATAGAAGCATAGGTCAGTATGCACATCAAATGAAAGATCTTTTTAGTAGAATACAATGGCGCAAACCGCACTTCAAAAAGGTTGATCCTGCGCAAAATGGCAGCCGTTCAAAGATTTCTTGAATCTGCCATTTTGAATCTTTGAACGACTGCCATTTTTTACTCAGGCGTTCTTTTGAGCTTGAATTTACGACATTGTAATCTACTATTGAAGACCTTTAATTTGATTGCATATCGACCTATGCTTACGTTAACAATTTTCTAACGATTCCTAGGGTTGTGCCCCTTGAGGAGTAAGCGTATAATAGCAATGCAAATTAAATTAATCTTTGAACAACTGTCATTCTTGGCTCGGTTGTCCGTTTGAGCTCAAATTTGCGGCATTATATTTTGCTAGTAAAGACCTTTAATTTGATCTTCATGTCAACCTATGCTTCTATTTAAGATTTTCTTCTGACTCCTTGCGGGACGTCTCCATGATATGACAGAAAATTCATAGTTCCTTGAAAAAGTAGATTTTTAGGTGTGGTGTTGATGTACCAAATCTTATTGATTTATCTATTATCGTTTAGAAAATAGTAAGCCAGTGCGGGACTTTACATACACCCTGTATATATTTCTATATTGTAGTAAATATTTACAATTAACTAAACCAATGCATCGTATAAATACAAATAGTACTTCAACAGACTTAAGTCCTATCGGATATGTATTCTTCCAACAAGTTTTTTTTTCTAGTGAAACAAATAACAGTTTTCCCAGTAAACACATAGTTTTAACCATAGATAAATCATACTGTTGCTTAGTCTATGGTTTTACATAGTCACGACATCCCTATTTCCAATCAATTACCTACTGCATATCAGTGTTTATCCAATATGAAAACCACAAGTAAATCACTCTAGTCTCAAGGCTGATGTGGTAGGGAACAGGCTACAATTGATTGACAAGAAAATAGTACTTGCTTGATTTACTTATGCAGAATCCCCCTTCGTCGGTGGAGTTATGTGCGTCATTGAAACTTGTAAGAAATTGAAAGCAATGTGACTAAGCCACATCAGTAGTAGGTCTACTCTATTAGCATAAATGCAAGGGGGTACCCTCATTCCTTGATTACCCTCATTACAAGATAATTAGCTTAAATTTGAGCTAAAAGAGAACTGGTTTGCTTTCATTGTGGATGTTGTTTCCAAAATGTAATCAAGTACTGTATATACAAAAACATATTGCTAAAAGAAAAGAAACTCTTTCCCTTTTCCGGTCTTCCTATGCTCTAGTGGAACGTTCTTTTCTGTGTTTGTAGGTAACTTACATTTATTTTATTGGGTTTCCTTATTTCATCATTATCATTAGTAGGGGTTATACTATTCAAAATATATCTTGAAAGATGATTAGTCCTAAAACTATAGTTTAATCAAACACATTTGAATGTTTGTGGATATTCCTAAGCCCAAGGTGAACCAGGCATTATTAGGCTACACAAGCGAGATTCCAAAGCAAATAGTAATCAGTCTTGATGCCTAAACGATCAAATATCGTTTAAAATAAGAGTACGCATTTCAGAGTACAGGCATGAGTGTACATGGTGGATATTGAAAGTCATCATGACGAGATGTAACACATTCTCTGGTAAAACCTGGTGATATAGATAAGAATGTTTACACTAACCACTTATCTCATCGCTAGTACAATTCCAAGTTATTTTGTTAAGGTAGTGATTCACATAAATTTCTCCAAGTATTGTAACGTTTTATTTTTCTCTACTTTTTGCGTGTCATTCAGCTCTCGTAGAAGATATTGTCTATTGATACAACATTTGGAAAACATAACCTATGATTAAGTAAATTGAAAATATTTTTTTTATGAGTTATAAACAATACTTATTAACCTTCCTGCTCTTTTACAATTTATTATAAACTACACTAAAATCGTGAATTTTAGCTAACGTTATTATAAAATAATAGTTTCGGATGAATCTTATATTTTGGAATTACAAACTTCTTCATTTCTATTTTTTAGCTTCTTTATTGTTTTTCTTCTTATTGTCTACCACTTTGACCGTTATACAGTTTGCACGAAAGCTGACTAAAGTTTATTGTACACGACAAGTGCAGTGAGCCAATAATACTGTTTATACATCACGTTTTATAGAAAAAATTAATATTAAGAACAGCAAATCGTTTCCATAATGGTTTCAGCTTTGTATAATCAAATGTCTTCAATTTCTGTACTACAGCTTAATTTAGAAGTCTTCGCCACGAAAAGTGGTTAAAAAATGTTCGTTCATAGTATACTTTTTTCCTGGAGTAAGTTTCCATTGCAATATGAAATAGATTATTAAATTTTCACTAAAGAAATATACATTTTTTCACAAAAACATTTTCTTTCAAAAACCTCCAAGAACTCTACTACATTCCAGTGTTTCCACAGTCAAATGACGCACCGCAGATAGCATCACGGTAATGAAGACAGTTTTTACTCTTTAGTCACATTTTTTAGTCAACAAAGCGCGAAATTCCCCAGCGTTGGTCGTGACTTGCCGCTTGTTTATTAGCCTCGCCGCCTCACGAGGAGCAGTGTTCAGTGTTCAGTGTGTTGTGAACCGGTGAGAAGATGACACGGATACTCACATCGCTGGCCTCAGTTGCTGTGAGTACACTTTGACTATATATAACCTACCATCAGCGTTATTCTGATAGGCAAGCATGTTTCTTGAAAACCTTTTTTTCTCACCTAGTGTGCATCGTAGGGAAAATCTGCGCATACTGTTAGAAGGATATTTTCCTGTGTGCAGAATCCCTTTGCAAATTAATATAGGGTCAAAATAAACACAAAAAATGAATTAAAAAATATGGCTTGCCATTATGATTACGAAATTACAACGAAATATAAACATAAAAGTATAACTTAATGGAATAAATTCCAATCACTTGTTTTATTTACAGCGTGAGGTGAAAATAGAAAAGTGTGTACATTACATATTTTTTGTCGAGTTGTTTACCACTCGACGACCTCTAGTATAAATAAGTACATGGGGTGTTAACCATTTATGTCGGGTAAACCTAAATGTGTTATTTATAATAGTGAGTTATAATTCAGAAAAGTTTGTTTATTTCTCAAAATTGTTTTGTTGTTTGGATTGAAAGATTGTACGTAAAGTATTTGTATACTTCTTTGTATTTAAAAGCAACTAGATGAATGGATAGTAAAGTAGCCGGTTCGATTTACAATTTGGTAACTATCTTTTTTATGGTGCGGATCTGGACCCAGCTGTCCTTGATGGTCCTTGGCTTTTAATAAATGGTCCTGGCTGGAGTAGCTAGAGAAACAGCTGGTCTTAGTCAGTAATAAAGATGCAAGTCCAGCTGCATACTGCTAGACTCATCTGTAGTCATAATCAACTTAAAATAGGTACTCTGATCGTATTAATTGCTTTGATACTTGTTATACTTTTTTCGATGAAATGGCGACCATACTAAGTAGGTATTTAAGCCAAGTATGAATGGAGATGAGTGTAAGATGAGTGGCGCGATATTGTAGTCTTGTTAGTGACTAATGCCGACATATTCCTTAGACACAACTGTTAATTAATATAGGGCTAACATAATAGTCGTAATAGCCCATACAGCTTATGGCAACTAAGGGACCTATAGTTTATAGTGGAATACGAACTACATTTTTGCCTTGGTATATGCGAATTGGTCTAATTATCAGGATAGCACTGCGGATAGTCGTAGTACTCACTCGTGCGGACGTTAATCCACTCCAGAGAGTATCGCATCCACAGTGCATGCCTATAAATATCCACAATTCGTGACCTCCTAGTAGCTGGATTACAGGACGACGCCACCCGTCCCAGTATGGTGTTTCTGTCCGAAAAATGATTAAAGTACGTCTTGGATCTTGTGTCAAATCCACTATAGCCAAAACCACTTAAACATTACTATTTGCGGTTAACCGGCAGAAATATCCGCTGATGGCGTTATATAATTCTTATATACATCGCACTTTGTCATATATTATCTTGATGAAAGTTATCATGCTCTTTTAATGGATTAAAGTATGCATTCATTTAATAGTTGTTATTCTTTCAAAGGCCCAACAAATTGGTATCAAAAATCCCGATAATATCAAGCAATACAAACTTTCTTAAAGAGCCTTGTTGCTATTTTGCATTAAAATATTATAGAAATACAAAAGAACATCTCTGCAAAATCTGCGGCTTTTAATTTATTTGTATGACCAATTATTATTCGTAACACTTATAATAATTTATTCTGTTTAACTAAATCATTCTTCATTTGAATTCATTATAATATCATAAAATGTTCAACAATTATAACTTTTTATATTAATGACAACACGTATGCTACATTAATATAGCTACATTCAATCGTAAAATATTCAGCATCACTTGACGGAAAGCTATCAAAGCTATTCAAAAGCACGAGACCCCGACTTAATGACAGTTATTACTCTACCAATTACTATCCACACTGATTTAAACTAGTAATTTACTCATACGATCATCCCACAATCTTACTCATTAATGTATGAACATGCGTAGCCAATGTTCGTAGCGTGGACAAATAACATACTAATATATCAGTTTAAATATTAAATTCTAGTTTATTTTACACTACTTAATTGTTTTATATTGTTATGCTGACTGGTATAACTGCCTGAATACTTCGGGAATCACCAGATAGGACCTGACATCCAACGTATATTGGAATGTTCTCTTAGATTAGTTTTTACAAACAAGCCAGTAGCTTTTACAAGTTGATGTATATAAAACTAATCACTTTAAGTCCCGAATCCTTTTGAAGGTGAATAGACGGTTCCTATTGTACTGGTGGATCTTTTATTCCTATTGTACCTTAGCTTATCAACAAAATAGTAGTTTCAGTTTGTTTTCAGAGTAAAAGTAGTTTTCTTTTTATGTAATAGCTATTTACCTTACAAGTGTAGTAAGAGCGTTTTTACATCACGCAGGTGAAGGTTGTGCAACGAGCGGAAGCGAGTTGCATAATTTACCGAAGTGATGTAAACACGCTCTTGCGTAACGTGTAACGTACAAGATTTTACCTGACCCGACAATATACAGGAGGTTACAAACAATATTAATCATTATCCATTTCACTCATCTTCTAACAGTAACGTTCATTTACAAACAAAAGCTAGGTTAGGACAATTGTTCAAAACATAACAATAAAATTCAAGAGCACAGCTGATTTCTAGCGTTGAACGTCGTTGGCTCCATAGAGTTATATTTTTTAAGTTAAGCACTCAATGTTATTTAAATGGGTTTCATTACATCACCGAGTGAGTTTTTGATACTTTACATCACTCAAGAAGTAAGGAAGTTGTATACATCACGCTTGGGATAGGGAAGTTTAACATGGCGGGTTAGGTAAAATAATAAAATCATTTACAAAACATATGATGACAAAACATGACAGAACATAAATGAACAAAAGTAAACGCTCAATAATTTTGGCTTGTGTACAACCACTTATTAGCTACGAAAAATCCATAGATGATTTGATCTGTAGTATTGTACTAGAAAACAACTATCAGTTAATGAAGCCAGAACTTTAACCCCATTTCCATTTGTCTGAATTGATTTTCAATTAAATCTATTTAAATAACATTAGGTTTTAAAACGAGTAGGCCTACTTAGGTTTGCTGTTACAAGGAAACTAGTAAAATGTGTTTTTTTTTGTTGTTGTTTTTGTTTTTTGTTAAGTACTAATAGCTTAGTATAAAATGAATAAAGTTGCCAAGTTTGGTCAAAATATATCCAAAACAAGCAAACTACCAAATTTTACAATATCCTCCATATATAACATGGGATTTTTAATTTAAAATTTTTATTTTCTCCGTTACCAATAACCGTACAAAAACACTTTGATGTACTAAATTATTTGTTTTTTAAGCTCTTTAAAATGGTCTAGAGAGAAATTAGAAAATGTTGTGTTTTTAGGGTCAAAAATGAGAAAAACCAACTTTTACCCCATAACCCCCTTTAAACCCTGTTCCCATGGTCCGATCATGCTGATTCGCGAACTGATTCAAGTTTATCCCGCCTTACATCTTTAAACTAAACTTCATAAAAATCGGACAAAAATTATTTATGTTATCGCGTTCACAGGCATATTAATACACACATATATACATATATATAAATTTGGACGAATAGTGTTTTTGGCCTCTGGGGAGATGAAAATGAAAAACTAGTTCGGTCCTGGACCTAGATCTTACAGTGCCACCTACGGTAATAGCTACTTCCCTATAGGGAAATTCACTAAAACCACTGATAGTCATTCAAACTATAGCTGCAACTTATAAAAACCACTATCACTATCTATATTAACCAAACCACAACTTTGATAAAATCACAAACAGGTTTTCAAACTGCAACTCCAACTTTTTAAAAGTTACTGGCACTTTTTGAACATATCAAGATAGTTGACCCTCCTATTGTAGAAATCGGCTTGCACTATCCAAAGTCAACGGTAATGCAAATACCCCAAATAATGCAATATTTTAATCATGATAGCGTTTATTCTATGCTGCTAGGCTTGCCAGGAACGTAAGCTAACCAAGGTAAAGTCAAGGACAAGGAGGATATTGAATGAAATTACACTCCTCTGGGAGTCCTTGAACCTGCGCGTGATATTGTTCTCAAATTGCTGTGTCTGTAGGATTTCCGTCAAAACTGTGAAAATTTACATTCGTAATATTGGCTGTATGATCAGATTTCTCAATGGTATAAGATTATAAGTGATACTTTCCAGGATTTAAAATATTTTTCTGATGACGGATTATGGATTAATCAAAGCTTTCACCAGAGTTTATATGTGTTTTAAATAGGTAACAAAGAAAGCTAATTTTGAATTCAATATCTGTGGTGGTTGTAGCCACAAATTATAGCAAACTGCATTTTGCAGTAAGTTTTTGTAACAACTAGACTTTAATGCTTTAATACTTTACTCTGAAATAGTGACTATACGAAAGTAGGTAATTTAGGCCAATTAAAAGTATTGCTAACTCTTTAAACCTGTACAGTGGAGATTTTAAGGGACAATTTATTTATTTTTTTTTATTTTTTTCTGCTAACTCTCAATTAAGTGAAGTATTACATTGTTACGGCATTTTTTTACATCTATAGTAAGTAGCATAGTCTTGTATACCATCAAAAACGCAAGCTTTTCATCATGTTTTCCATTGGTATATACCATATACCAAAACCACTTCCACGTTAAGTGTAAGGTAGCACCCTGGTTATCTACCAAAGTAGAAGAACTAATTGCACCATGATAGCATTTCATGGCCCTTAAGCACATATTTAACCACGAACACGACCTTTGGAGAAACTCCTAATTCCTAAACTCAGCAGGACTATATACGAGTATTTGTGCTAATTTATTGAAAACCTGCATTTCTCTGCATTACCCCAGCATGCGTATCACCCGCCTATTGGTTTATACATAATCATAATATCTTAGTTATCACATTTTGTATGTCTGTCCACGACTAGTAGTGTAAAATCTACTTTGAGTAAAAAATCGATTAAACCAGATATTGCAAAACTCAAGCATATTAATCAAATCATGGTTCTGAGCAATGTGGAATGGATGTATGAAACAAATTTAGGGACGATTAAGAGTCTGTTTTAGTAGTTTTCAAACCCCTTAATTTTTTAGCTTATGCGGGGATCGATAGCATCTTCTTGCACTAGGTTAACAATCCACCTGAAGAAATTGGCAATAAAAATCCATTGAAATAGGCTACTCAAAGTAAAAGTTTTATAACAACTAGGAAAAACTTAATTATCTAAATAATTTATGAATGCAAAACATATAAACGTTGATTTTGTTAACAGATCTTCCTCATCTTGTCAGTGGGCACTTGCTGCAGCCAATGCCCAGATGTGAAGATTGACAAGCTAGCTCACCAAAAGCTGCTGCAGAGCCAGCTGCAGTTTTCTGCAGATCTGCTGCAGAACATAGGAGAACTGGACGGTGCAGAAAATGTGTTTTTCTCCCCCTCCAGTGTCTACAACGCATTGTTGTTGGCTTACTTTGCATCAGCCAACCAAACACAGGATTCTCTCAGAGAGATTCTTCGCTTTCCTGAGGAAATAGTAGGTTCCTAAACTTACATGATGTTCAAATTGATTGATAAGCTAAAATAATTATGCTTGTCATACTAATGTGTTTTACCTTAGTTCTAGTTTTAAAACTTATTTAGAAATACAAAACCACAGGTTTTTTTTATTTACAAGTACTGTAGCTAAGTTTTTACTAATGTTCTAAATAAACTAAAAGTAAAAAAATTGTAGTTTGATCATAACATACTATTGTTTTTAATTTATTCACATTTAACGCTATTTTAAATTAAATAAATTGGTGATAAAAGTGAATTTCTGAATAATAATTGAGTGCATAAATCATCAACTTATAAATAAGAAAACCGGTTGTTTATTACAGTTGAACTAAAATAATAATTACTGTTCCATATTCTTCCTAATTAAAATGTTTGGTTCTATAAGCTTTAATAAGCTTACAGTAATGAGATTTTTTGTGGATTCATCCAAATTTATGTAATCCTCTCTCTTCTCTTTTGCCCTTTCTCTCTTGTGAAACTGATACTTAGAAAGCGCTTTCTCTGTGTATAATAGAGACCTTCTAAAATCGGTGGGCTCTCAACTTTTTTTGTAAAATGTTGGACTCGTATTTAAAATAGTTTATTTTTGTATCCACTTAATCATTTTTAAAACTTCCAAACATATTGCATTCAGTCTCAATGGGTTCAACTTTGTTTTTTTATTGATTGATTATGACTCACTAAAATATACGAAACCATTAAAAAGTATATGGTTAAGGGTCAAAGATTCTATATTTGTATAAATAAAACTCCTTGGTTTGAAGTTTAAAATTGGCGATTGGTTTTAAATTTCAGGTTTCAAAACATTAGTGAATATTCAACACCAAAATATTAAATTTTCAATATTAACACAGATTATTCTGATTTCAAATATAAAATAATATCACATAATTACCTTTTTTTGCCTGCATTCTTGAGCTAGCAGTTTGTATTCATATTATGCTTATGCATTTTACCAACTTGTGTGTGATCTCCATATCACTAACACTAACACACAGAAGCAACAAAAACAACTAAACAAATTTAACTTGAAAATATTTTAAACTAGATTTGGAACTTTTCAAATAATTCTATTAGTTGCAAGTTACTGAATCAGTGACAATAAAATCGTGTTATTTAGTTAGAATTATTATAAGCAACCCATGTGTTTAAAGATTAAACCAAAGGTTTATCATGAAAAATGGGATATTAGCGAAATAATTGCTATATATAATTTTAACCATTTCATAACATCTTTCACCAAAATTCACCAAAATTTGTAATACATATTTACAAGCTGCACTGACATGGAGTATGTTTTATGAAATAAATATGCCTAATGTCTTAAAATGACTGTTTCAGGATAATGCAAACTTACTCGGTGCGTATATGTGGGGAAACAAAAAACAGAAGGATCGTGCTGTGAGTGGCTCCGGCAAGTTCATGCTCGGAAGTGTCAACAGAATGTACGTCAGTGATAAGGAAACACTCCGCCCTTGTGTTCAGAAGGACTTTAAAAATGAAATCGTCATGGCGGACTTCACAAATAATGTCTCATCCACCGTATCCACTATCAACACATTCGTCTCGGACAACACAAATAATGAAATTAAAGAGTTACTTTCACCAGATTCACTGAATCAGAACACAAATTTAGTACTGGTGAGTACCAAATGATTTAGTTTGGTTACGTTATTTAGATTTGTTTCATATTTAGTGTTTATTAACTATTGTGTCCATCTATTGAAAACCATAATTTTATTTTACTCTATCAAAAAATTTAGTGTAGATGAATAGAAATATAAGTTTAATTAAATCAAATCCTGGACATTTTGTTATCTTATACGAACAAAGAAGAAAACAAGTGAATATATTAGGAGAATTTAATTAAGTATGTCACACAGGGAATTTTGTAGAATAGAAACGTTTCTAATTGTTTTACTGTATTGATACTCAAACAGAAACAAGGTGTATGTTGAAATTCACACTCCCAATGTCACAATGAACTAAGACATGCCAAAATTAACACCCAAATTGACTAAGAAAGTTGTAATTCCTTGGGAATAGATATTAAGTGATATTTATTTCTTTATATGTTTTCCTAAAATACTTCCTTCTATAACTTAATTCTTTAAATTTCTATAAGAGACGATGGTACTGTAATTTATTTGATAAGGATTAAAATTAAATAGTAAAACAAAAATAGTGGTTTTTTTGCAAGGAGAGGTAGAACTTTTTTTGGTTTCATCACAGAAATTGTGTACCGGTATCACAAATTTAATTTTCAAGAACTACTGCCCTATTTATCATGGATGTTTATTTTTTGTTATTTTATAAATCACATCATAAAAAAGTATTACTTTTGTTAATTTATTTGTCACAGTGATTTTGAATTCATTTTAAACAGAGAAGAGGAAGTAAAATACTTTCTTATGAATAAGTATAGATTAAGCAAAGTTTATTAAATTAATCAAGTTGCATTTGCACTGCTAGATCTGTTTCTAGACAAATTGTACAGCTGTGTGTCTTGGTTGCAGTTGAATGCTGCTTATTTCCGAGGTCTGTGGACGAATCCATTCTCCCCGGACGACACCAGACCGTCCATGTTTAAACTTTCCAACGGATCATCTGTGCCAATTACAATGATGTCTCAAGAAAACATGTTTAATCATTGTAAGTTTAACTTGACTTTAAAAGAAATCTAGAGGGAATATGCCATGTAGATAAGAGTGTTATATCACAAAAAGTCAAACAAGTAAGGACTGTAGTGCAATATACCAAACTTAAAGCTCGGAAACAGGCACTTGCTCTTGGCATAACAAGAGATGTCCGCACCAGATCCTCTACATAAAACTGAATTCTCCCCCATAAACACATTATGCGTTAGCCAGAAAGGTATTGTTGTTATAAAGATTATTTAACCTAATGTAAAATAACATCATATATTTTTCCCTGATTGCATGATTGCTGCTCAAACTTGTTTTGATATTTTTAGTTAGAATTAATAAATAATAAGAACAAAGTATTTTAGATACTTGTATTAAATTATCTTCTTTTCTTTGACATATTCCCTATAACCTGGAATGCATCTATGCAATGTATAATTTGATTGCCATGTAAAACATATTCGCCCGGCGAACCATGAATTGCAATCAAATAGCAAGTAAGAGATATGGGTGATACAAGCTTATGAGACAATCTTTTGCTTTTAGTTCTGGTATGTTGGGGCCAAAAAAATATGTAAAAATATGTGGCAATGGCCACATAGCATTTTTGTACAACAGTTGTAGCGGCGTAGTGCACAGGGTCTTACTACAGTGTGAGCGCAACAATGATGGCAAGGGGGGAAGCAGAGCAGAAAGGGAGACAAATGAAATCTGCTCTAGACACCAGAGCGACTGGTGCTAAAGACCACTTAAATGTACCATTGAATGTATCCTTTGTATCTTACTTCTCTGTGATTAAAGCAAATAGATATCGATGAATACAAAACCTGCTGTTGTTATCTAAACCACAACTGCAAATATACCATAAAACACAAATAATACTGTATCTACTTATATCCACCCACTCTTTAATCTGTAGTTGTAATAAAAAGACCATGTAGCAGGAATAAGTTATTGGAACCCGTTCCTATGCGTTGTCTCTCATCCGAGCCTTGCTTTTATAAAAACTCAATTTCATCCAACTGACTAATTCATTCTAAACATTTGTTTGAGTCTGTTGAACAAATTAGTAAGATACTAAGTCTAAACAGGAGGATTGCATGCATCAGAAACTCAAGTTATTCAACATTTATAAATTTCTTGCAGTGGTGGATGAAAACCTCGGTGTAGAAGTATTGGAGCTTCCATACCAAGATGCTGACATCAGCATGTTTATTCTTCTGCCGCTAAAGCCTTCACCCTCGGCCATCTCTGATCTGCTCAACAAAACCACTGACGAAACTCTGTTAAATATCTTCAAAAGTGATAACGAGACGAATCATGTGACCGTGACCATTCCAAAGTTCATGGCTGATAAGACTCTAGAAATGACTCCGGTGAGTATTGAGGATAACTTGTACAACTGAGTCCCAAACATTAGTTTGGCAAAAATATACTGTTTTTTTATGAATATTATTTATGCCACCTATGGTGGAGAAATGCATAGTCACCTACATAAAAACTCAGACAACAACAAAGGTAAATCTATATAATACGCTAAGCCGATTTTTGTAAACAGAACTCCTCCCTCATTTTTGGACCGATTTTAATGATTAAAGTGTCCCTGGTCTGTAGTTTTGCAAAATGTTTTTCGTTTTTTGAAATCTTTATTAGTTTGGGTAGGATCTTCCATCAAAGTTGGGTTTTCTCCCATAAGATTAACATGGGGGAATCTAAATATTTATTTGGAAACTTTGTTTCCACTAATTTTAGAGAATGGCTGGGCGTAGAAACTTGGTAGAGGTGTCCAAAGAAAGGTCTTGATCTGTAAATGAGTTATCAAAAGAAAAACGAAGTAAATTCCCTCAGGGCTCTGCCCCAGAAGCCTTTAAAGACCCTCCACAGATTTGTTTACATTTTGGGCATGTGGATAACACTTTTCAATTAAACGGCTGTTTTTAATTTTTGAACTGTATTTTAAACAACACACATTTATTGGGAGTCACTGAATTGTCCAAAGAAGTATTTGCAATGTTATTTTCTGATTTTAAAATTGATTTCCTTCTGTATCATGTCATGTTTTGCAATATAACGTTTCATTACAAAATCAGTGAAATATCCTTTTATCACAGTCTTACAATATTTCTTATTGAACTATCTTATATCTATTGTACGGTTGGTGTCTGCTTTTTTCACCACTTTTGGCTATATTTTATCATATTATTCCAGACAGATCATCATAGGTTCTTGAGATTATTGTCATACATGTTTTCAATAATTGGAAAAATCTTTGATTGTGTAATACAATATAAAATAATACAAGTGCAGAAGTGTCTTATTAAGAAGCTTTATTAGTAAACCCACAAATGATTTCTCAAAACTATGCTAGAGGGTTGGCACAGAAGTACGATATGAACTGACGCGACGTGACGAAGGAAAACTCAAACTTACACTGTAACGGATGGACCTCCCTTTGAAGTTAGAACGTGTCTTCTCAACAAACAGATATTCTTTCCCAAATCAAATCATAGATTAATCTTTGTTAAACTGATGAAATCGCGGAAGTTCCTAACTACGATTTGAATACTATCTAATGGTTCTTCCAAAAGAGAGATACCAGTTAACATACTAATAATAACTCCGATGACGTACGGTATGGAAATGTTTTATTCATTGAATGATCAACAATATTTGGTAACTAACGCAATTAATACCATTATTGTTTTACACTTAGATGAATTAGCGTAAGCCTTGAAAGTAACCGTCGAAATTGACGGGTTTCACCTAGTCTACTTATAATTCAGCTGAAGGAAATCAGCTGTTAGATTGACACTTAACAACTGTAATACATAAAGTTGGTCAATAGCACCATAGACAAATAGAATAAATATAGACTGTCAAACGAAGGTTCCGGCACCCACCGCTAGGAGTGCCATGAAGTTACGGCGCACACTGTTGCAGGCGAGGAGCGTAGGAGCCTTATGTGACCAGCAAACGCTGCAGCAGTGTGCGCCGTAACTAAACGGCAAACCTAGTCGTTGACGACAGAGCCTATGATAACCGCAGCACAGCTGACGGTCTACATTTATTCTATTTGTCTATGGTAGCACTGGAATTTTGAAAGCTCCAGGTTAGGGGGCAATATTTTTATTTACCAATCGTCCTTGTGTTAGGCCATATAAGCTTAAGCTTAAAAATGAAACGACACTTCAATCAAAAGAATTATTTAAGTAATGGAAAAGAGATGTAACAAAAAATCCCGTAAATTAAGTATGGATATGAATTACAAATAAACCATGTCGTTGTTTTGTGATGTTTAAGCCGAAAGCCCACTGGACTGAGGCTGTTCAAGGACCATCATGTCTCCTGCAGCCCTTATTAACAAACTTTGTACATAAATCCCATATTTTACTGTAGGAATAGGCAAACTCTTTAACGTTTTTGTACTTATGTTTACAGATTCTGGAGTTGATGGGAGTAGGAGATCTATTTCAGCCAACAGCTGACTTGAGCGGACTGACTGAGGAAAACGTGCTGAAACTAGACAAAGCCATCCATAAGGCTAAAATTGTTGTGGATGAGGTAAATATTAAACATAACACATCACTAACAAGCTTCCATTGAATAATTAATTACAACTACAAGTAATTCCTAATGGAAATGTTGTTTTATAAGAACAGTAGAATATACAAGATGATAAAAAATGTAAGTTTAAATATTTTTCATGTTCAGATGGATGCTGTTTCTTTTTACAAAGTTTAGTTTATATTTGCAATCAGCCACGTTAACGTTCATGAGTATCGGGGTTGCGTCGATCGGACAATGTGACAACGGACACACAGCGGAGTCACTCTTCCGTTCCTCCGTGTCATTCATCATGCTGTCCAATGGACCCGAACACAATACTAGTGACCCTATGTGTGTAGATATTATTGTAAATACAGTATGGAGTTCATACAGTATAGCATATCCATAATTTATATAGTTGTTAGCGATAAGTGATTTAGAAGACCCCTGAAGATGACACACAAGGTGCAGTAATACCAAAGACAAAAAGAATTAAATATAGACCGTCAGCTGTGCTGCTGTTACAGTTGTCGCAGCTAGTCTGGGCGCGCGGACCCTTGTGTACTAACCGTCCCCCACGCCAAAGCCATGAAGACAGCAGTGAGGCGCTGAACAACCCCAGACAGCCGTGTGGGCCAGATGTTTTTGGAAATGAGCAATAAACACTCCCCTCTACACCCCGCACCCTAGCGCGGCCGCGCGCCCAGACTAGCTGCGACAACTGTACCATAGGTTCTGGCGCACACCGCTGGGTGCGTCATGTAGTTACGGCGTACACGCTACGTAACTACATGGCGATCCAAGCGGTGTGCGCCAGAACCTATAGTAACCATGGTAACCACAGCACGGCTGATAGTCTATATTTTTAATTCTTTTGGTCTATGGTAATACATAGTGTAACATTAACATCTCACCTACAAAAACTCAGGCAACAACAAATGTATATCTACTATAATTGAAATTCTTGAAACTGGGATGACAAAAAAATATTATAAGATCGCTTTATATTTCAGGTTGGTACAACTGCTGCTGCCGCTACAGCCATTTTTGCCAACCGCTTCGCCGCAGACACCTTCTTTGCCAATCATCCGTTTGTCTACTTGATTTACGATAAGAAAGCAAATATCTTACTGTTTGCGGGAATTTTCAACTCTCCAGAAACATAATTTTGATAAGTTCTCACTCCATCCCAAACCAACAGTATTAATTAAAGTGTGATAATGAATGAAGCCATTGACAAATTTGTGTTACGTTTTGAATTTATTTGTTGTCTAATTCAGGATTATGATATTCACATAAGCCTTATGTGTTTCAGATTTTACTTTTGCAAAAAAGTATGAAACTTTTTACTTGTATAACGTCTAAAAATTGAGAGACCACTAACAAAGTCCTTTTGTTGACAAGTGTACAATTTTCCATTCTGATTGTCAATTTAACACGCCATTATTAGACCTATAGTAAGAACTTTATCAACTATTGTTGTTACGGTACTATTAAGCATAGTTTATTCTTTTATAATGTGAGCTCTATGATAAGTAGAGATGTATATAGGAATGTGACAATATTTGTTGTGTTTTTATATTTATTTATTGTATTTTCAAGATGAATTTTACTATTGGCAAACCTATTTTATATAGAAATATGATAAATTATACAAATCATAAAATCATCATTATGATAAATTATACTAGACTTTTATTTATGTGCATTCTCTTCATGAATCATTCTTGAAAATGAATTACCATACATAGTTTAAGCCCCATTCACACAAAGGCAGTAGGTAGGCAGGTTATCTACCCCACGTAACTGAAATTAAAATACACTAACTGAAGCAGGTATCTGTGCATGGTAAGCCTCATTGTACCTGCCTCAGGTAACTTGAAATACACCAGAGGCATGTGTATTTTTGGCCTACTGGCTTTGTGTGTACAGGGCTTGAACGCGGCTGTATAGTTTTGTGCCATTATTTTATTATCAATTGTTTTGAAAGAGGCCTAATATCCTTTGAGTACTTATAAGTGCACACCATGTGTATTTTTTTCAGACGCTAGGCTTGAGCCTGGGATTGTCTTCTCATTACTTCAGGCTTGACCTAGGGGTTGCGGCATTATCACTTAGACAAAATCCAGAAAGAGGAAATAAATAACATTAAATTCTCAAAGACTCTGAAAAGCTAATATCATGTTTTACAATTGGGAGAAAAAGTTATGGCTTCAAAGTTAAAATGTGACTTTTGTCTCTGAAACAGAATTAAGAACAACACTTTTGTGCTGTAATGACTTTATTTACAACAATAAACAATTTATGTACAATTAATACATGTTACCTTCTGTAGCTGTACTGAAACTTTATCAAATGACTTGGTTTCCATCCGATCCCTTCTTCGTAGATGTACGAACAGTAGAACTTGCCGTGACTGAAGGTATGTCCTTCACTGCAGTTAGGAGCTTTCCAGCAAGGATGAAGTTTAGCCTCTTCACTTACAAACAACACCTTGATCTTGTACATTCCGTTGGCCTGGAGTGTAATACTTTCCCCGTTTACCAATGTGGGTATCGTAAACTGTTCGTAATAGTTGGCATTACCGTTGAATCTGACCACAACTGGTTCTTCTGATGATGAGCTGGAAATGTAATCCGTTATCCTAGTTATGACAACATCTACTTGGCAAGCGTAACTGAGTCCAAAGCAGTCGTGAAAATCTCGAGAGGTGGAACCCAAGCAAGTGATTGATTCAAGCATGATGTTGCGATCTCCTACGACGATACAGCTGTAGGATGAATCAGACTGAGTAAATCTTCCCTCTCTTGTGTCATGCAGAACTGCCACTGTTTCCCACCATTTCCACCGCTCCTGAAATGCCAAACGCTTTTCCTTGATGGTACATATGGTTTGAGACTCTTGTTCACTTTTTTCACAAACTTGAGTGAATTCCTCAAATGTCAGGATTTTGGTAGGAAGAACTTCTTTGCAGAGATCTTCATAGGTGAGGGTCATCAAACGAAGGTGCTTCAGAGGTTGGGACATCCATTCTCTCATTGAAGAGCCTTCGACAGTCTGGACTGTAATCATTGGAAATTCATTCGCATTACTCAACAACAAACTAACAGACAAATATAAGTTTTATCAAATTCAGGAAGAAAACCACATAATGGAAGTAAGTGTGATGTTTAGTTATTCAAGATGTATTATAACTTTGCATCTGACAATCACAAATTTCTATAATGCCATACCAAGTTTTACTATAGGTATGTGCATAAAGTAGTTTAGAGCCCCCCTAAAATAGATAATATCAACCATAATAATACTGCAACTAGTAGGCCTACTACTGAAAACAGTAAAGCACAAATCATTAAATTGATCCTAAAATTAAAGAAAAAAACATTTTGACAACTCTAGCGCTCAACCTCTACAACATGAAAAACCCATAACAAATTTGCATAGTACAACTATAGACTAACCATTTTTCGTGTCTAGTTCATGTCCGGCAACGAAATTTTGTTCGCTAGTGTCGACAAAATCTTTTTTCTGTTATTTTAGAGTTTATTTCATGGTTTGTGCTTTAATGTTTGGTTATATAACTAGAGTATGAGTTATGGCTTATGATTATACCGTTTTATTTGGTTAAACGGGGTTTTAAATTACTGAAATGACAAGAAACTAATTGTAAACAAAACACAACATCTACAGTGCACGATAAAATTGGCTTCAGCTGTTCCATAAGGATGGAAAGTCTACTTAGGAAGTATGTTTATCTATGGTACAACTTTAGAACAGGAAGAGAAGTCTACATGTACTGTTCAAGTCGATGATATTATCATATGATCATACCTTTGTGAGTAGCCCACTTGACTAAGGCTCGCCAGATGTCTACCTCGGCACAGTTCAATGTATCTTGTCTGACTATAAACAGCACACTGTCTACATCCACCTCAACAAACCCTTCACTTGCAAAGACTTTGTCTGTCTGTTCCCGGACCATCTGGAGAGAGAAAAATAAAGAATTTAGGAACATTTAACCTTTTAAGACCACCTTTGATGTTTTAGTTTTAATCTCAAACCAATTAAGATTCTCTAAATTTGAATATGTGACACATACTGAAATGCATTGGCTGATACATCAAGTCAGTTTTCTACAATAGAAACTGTAATAAACTCACCTAAGTTTCGATAATATTATATTATGAAACAAAACTTTAATCCTTAATCAATCCCTAACAGTTTTCTTTGTAGACAATTTTATAAATATTAAAGCTAGCTTTGTTGCACCACAGAGAATTAAAGCCTAGTCCACACATGGAGACTGAGTCGGCCGACTGTGCGCAGACAGTCGGCAGACAGTCTGTCAACACAGTTTCGGATACAAGTTTCCGATGTGTTTTGCGTCCACTAGCCAGCCAGTGTTTCCATTTTTGTTGGTATGGTGACCAAAGAGGGCGTAATAATATCCTGTGCGGGCTTCATTTTTCTGAACCATTGGCCTAATGAATCTAGGAAGAGACGATGATGGACTCAACATTTTATCGGGCAAGGTTCGTACTGTGGTCACAATCTTCTATCAGACCTTCAGATTATGTGGGGGATTTAGGAACTTCACGAGGTTGACTTATAAAGATTTTGAAATTTGGCTGAGCTTTGTTGGTCTTAATTAAGATTTCAAACTTAAGAGATGAACAATTCAATAAAATGTCATATAATGATATAAATCATTGAAAACTAATTCCAAAACTTTCAACAAACTCAATCAAGCTCTTTTATTACCGCCCAAAAATCTTAATATTACCGCTTTGCAGTCTAACTAAATGGGATGAATGTTGAACACCTTCGGCTTGTATCCAGTCTCCTGTCTCCAGACACGTCCGTCCACACATGCAGACTTGAGACAAAAGTATTGTCTGTTGTCTCCGTGTTTCCCATTCAAACGGGAAACAGAAAACACTGTATTTTGTCTCCAGAAACACTGAAATTTGTCTGACGACAGTCGGCCGACTTACTGGAGAAAAAATAGCAACACTCTGGAGACAGTCAGCAGACAATGTTTCCGCAGACAAATCGCCATGTGTGGACGAGGCTTTACGAACAGAGGAAACAAGCTTATGGGACAACCATGCGCTTTCAGCGGGCAGAAGTTTACCTGTGACCATCAGCAAACAAGAGCCTGAACGGCGAGCACTGTGAGATAATTCCTATCACATCATATCAGGGCTCAGGGTCTTCCTCCAACGTGAGCATTGTAGTACAGAAGGCTAGGGGGAGGTGTGGGACCTTGCCTTAAACACCAGCACTAGTGCTACACACCGCTTAAATGTACCATTGAGATTTTGCACCAAACACTGACCAACTGGTCTTGTGCGACCCAATACAGAGATGATGTCTTGAAAATATGTCACAAGCACAGGTTGGTCTACAAGTGACATGCCTCGAACTCAAAAACTTTTGTAGACATGATATCTAAGACACCAGTGGGTTGCCTGTCAGTATATTCAACCTTACGACATTCGTCTCAGAAAACTATCACACAACCAACAACCATGGTAAGTGAGGTTCAACACTTAAGCTGTTGAAAACCAAAAAAACTAAAAACTATTTAAGTCTAAAAAGTTGTTGGTAACAATTATAATACCGTATAAAATTTAGTATATCAGCTTATACCTCTGCAACATAAAGTTCAAGATCCTTGACATTGTAGGTAACCAGGCAGTGAAGAGCGGGGAATATTTCCGGGACACATTCGGGTTTCAACCTTTCAGCAACTTTCTTCTTGAGGGTGGAAATGAGGTATTTCTCAGCCGCATAGCACAGTTTAACTGCAACCTCAGGATCTAACTGTCGGCAACTGTCCAAACCTCCGTAGCAATGCCTGTCACAGATAGTAAACTGATAAATGTCTTAGTTGACTCTAACAATAAGGATCAATGTAACTACCGGTGTTAGATCAACCATAGACAAATATGATTAGAAATAGACCGACAGAGTGCTGCGGTTAGCATATGTTCTGGTGTCCACCTCTAGGAGCGCCGTGCAGTTCCGTAGCGTGTGCGCCATAACAAAACGGCGCTCCTAGTGATGGACGCCAGAGGCTAACAGCAGCGCTGCTGTCGTTCTATATTTAGTTCTATATGTCTATGGATCTAAATTGCTTCTATGAAATTAAATGACAAATTCTTTATTTTACCAGCAAAGTTAGGGCCAAATGTCACTGTCTTACACTTAACTTACATACGTAAATATAAGAAATAAAAATAGAACAAGATTTCTTAAACTGATATAAATCTACATATTTAACAAATTACGAACAAATGAAACAACAATACAATTTAACAAAATAATAAGCGTTCACACACTCACACGCACTAGCAATCGCGCAAAGACACAGAAGCCTTAGGTCACGCCTGCCGAGACAATTTGTTTAAAGTGGAGATTTTTTTGTTGTCACATGATGAGGCATACGCAATGTGATCGAAGAAGAACAAGAACTACCCTGAGACACAAATTTAAAATCGGATGTAAAATATTTTGGGGAGCCTGTTTTCAAAATTAAAACAGTCAATGATAAAATGTTGAAGGATCTTTGATAATTTAATTTCAATGTATTTGGCTCAAGGAGGGCGTGACATACTCTTTACTTCACAGACCATACACAAATATCAAACAGTAATTCTGAGACTGTGGAGCATACCTTCCTGAATCACAGTCATATCATTGATCAATGAGTTTCAGTAACTGAAGTGGGGTAATGGGGGGTGATTTGATCAAATTTAGTTTAGTGTGTTGAGGCAAAACATTCTGCAATATTTTCAGTATTTGTTTGGAGGCAAAAACCTTTTTTTCTGTGTCCATAACTGCTGTGTCCCAAGTAAGTAAGAGTTGAAAGATATGCCAAGACTTTTTACTTTTTCGTAGTAGGGAAGTGCTTTGCCACTCACTATGATTGTGTTCATGTAGTCTAAGTCAATTGATGCGCAAAATCAAGAGTGGCACATTTAAATCGGTTTCGTCTTTTTGTGATTTAGTCTCAGTCCAAGTATCTATTCGGATGACATCTTCATTGATCCTTCTGACACAGCCATTTTCGTTGTTTGCGGTAAAATTTATAGATTTGTAAGTTAAGTTCTCAGCGTACATATGGTGTTTACAGTTGGCCAAGGTCGAGTTCATGTCGTTGACTTACAGTACAAAGAGCAGTGGTCCAAGGATCGATCCTTGGGGCACACCGCATGTAACAGTCATCCAGTCTGATCTTTTGTCACCAACCTCCACACATTGCTGCCTATCTGACAGATAAGATCTCAGCCATTTAAGAGAATTCTAGGAATACCCTAATGTCCTTAATTTCTGCACCAGCAAGTTGTGATTAACACAGTAAAATGCTTTGGAAAAATCGAACAGAGTTAGAAACATTCCTTGTCAACACTCAATAGCTAGTATCTCGTCTTCAGTCACTCAAAAGAGTGCTGTTCATGTACTGTGTGCTGATCTGAAACCAGATTGATAGCTAGATAAAATTTTATTTTCAGTGAAGAATTCAATGATCTGACAGTGAACGATCCTTTCTAAGCCTTTAGATACAGCGGACAAAATACTTATTGGTCTGAAATCCCCAACCAGGGTTGGTGCTGAGATATTTTTTAGGGGACGGATAATGGCAGACTTCCAAATTGAAGGGAAGAAATAGTGCTCCTAAGTTAAAAATTAATGTGATGGGAAGGATGGCATAGAGGATGTCTTTGATAAAGCGGATAGATATCCCATCAGAAGGACAGCATTGCTTCAGATTCTGCAGATAGCCATCAAAACATCAGACTGATGAATAACTGGTTTGAAATTAAAATTGAACTAGTGGAACCCCGTCGAAATCGACGGTTAATCTTGAGGTTTCATGTAAATTCAGCTAACTGCGATAGATAGAGTGAAGTAATTAAAATCTTAGTTAAATGAAGGGAGGATAAGCATAATAATAAGCCACTTATCTTGTCCGCTATCATGTCAAAGCCACTTTCACTATATGGGAGAATGAGTTCATATAATTAGTCTTTCATGTTACGGAAAGAGTCAATATTTATTACTAACAACTAATTCCATCTGCTTTAGAAAAATCATTCAGATTGTATCCAGATTTATAAGTAAATCTTCATCTTTGGTCATAAAAATACAGAATTTTATCAACATTTAAATAAGTTTTTTTTTTGTATTTGATAAAAATATCTGATTCTCCAGATAGCAGTAACATTCTTACTTCGATCCAAGCAATTTTAATTCCTTCTCTTGCCACATCGACCCATGTATTTAATCAGAACAGGATTCTTACTTGATAATTCATTAACTTATGGGGTAGTTTTGCCTGGCCATATCGACCACATAAAGCTGTGCATGTTTTTCGTGGATGGAATGAACCATAATTGTAGGAAATTTGATCACAAATCTTGAACATTTGCGGAACCAAATCCATAACCTAGTCCAGCCTTAGTAACAAATTATGCAAATGCGATGAGATGTGATGACACTGTTGTGTTTCCCAATGTTTTGTATGTAGTGAGGTTTAGATGCGTTGTTCGACCTAGCTACATGTGTACATCAAAGTAAAAACCCTGTAGGCCTACACATTTTTTTAAAATACCTGAATTGACATTAGTTCACCTACTTTACCAAAACCATAGATGAAAAATACTCCGTAGTTAGTCTATTCCAAAACTTGAACACAGCTCTCATCCTCAACGTAAGTTACTCATCTATGACACAATTTTCAACCCGATTATCGAAAACTTTCATACCAATAAATTAATTTCTGGTGTTCTTTCTTGAATTCAAAAATGGTGAATGAAAGTAGGGAAAAAAGGCAAGTGCCAACCTTACAATACATATAAGCTAACCCGATAAGGAATAATTATATGTTCCTTTGAAAATGATATGTCACACTTATTTCATAATTTAAAGTTTTCTAAGAGCAATAAAGCATAGATTTTTGAACAAAACATTTAAAACGTATCATAAATTCATCATTTTGTTGAAACTATAAAAAAACTTGCCATGCAGTGGAGAATCAATTGTAAACATTTAATTTTGACAGTTTCCTTTGAATACAATTTTAATATTAACAGCTGGTTCATTAAAAGTAGTGTAAAATTATCCACATGGTCATAATGTAAACAAAATTGCTGAGTAAACTTAAAAGGCCTCTGGGGCAGAGCCCCATGGAAATTTACTTTGTTTCTCTTTTGAAAGCTCACCTACAGACCAATACCTTTCTTTAGACACCCCTACCAAGTTTCTACACCCAGCCGTTCTCTCAAATTAGCTGTGACAAAAACCCCGTTTTCCTCCATAAGAATAACATGGGATGGGACTTTAAAGGCCACTGGGGCAGAGCCCCGAGGGAATTTACCACGTTTCTCTTTTGATGGCTCATCTACAGACCAAGACCTTTCTTTAGACACCCCTACCGAGTTTCTACGCCCAGCCGTTCTCTCAAAATAGCTATGACAAAGAAAAACAGTTTCAAATTAATATATAGATATCCTAGTTGCATGGTAGCAGAGTTGACTAATTCATTCAAGTAACTGTTAACTTGATACTGATTACTATTTTTACTGCAAGAAGAAAAGTAAATGTTTAACTCATTTAGAGGGATGATTACTGGTTGATAATCAAATTGTTTCCCAAGCCCAAGACTTTTAACTTTACATCATAAAACTCTCGCTGGCTGTTTTTGAATTTCGCAAAAGCTGTTTAACTCGATTACGAAGATTACAATATTGTTGGTTTAGTATGATATTGTTGGAGTGCCTAGCCCTGCAACCTAAGCTAACACGTTTAGCGATCAAACTTTTAATTTCAGGGGTCATCTACGGAACAGGTCTTAGTTTTTTCACACATTTTGTTAGGATGGGAGCATGCTTATCAAAGAGATTTAATATGGAAGAATTTAGCTCATGAACCATTTCATTATGGGAATTTAAATTTATTTTGAATGATGTGAATTGAGCCACATTGATATTTTTAAGATGTTTATATTTAATAATCTTTGCTTTGGGCTTTAAGAGATTTGATTGAGTACACACAGAAAATTAGGTCATTTTCGGATATTGAAGGGACTACGGAAGCTATGCCCATGATAAATGATATCTTGACGATTAGATCTAAGAGGGTATCAGAATTGGCAAAATCATAGTAGTCCCATAGTAGTCCCATATGTCCTGAGAATGTCCTGAGGACTACAAAAAATGCTGTGAGCTTATCCGTAGGACATCCCCGGGCGGGGACATTACGCATTCCTGCGGATATCCTGGGATATCCCAAGTTGACCATAGGACTACTATGGGATATCTTGCATATCCTGTCGCAATATCCGTGGGATGTCCTAAGGAGAAAGTGTGCTGTCTGGGTTATACTCTGCCTTATCCAGGATTCAGAAGTGCTAATTAAATCAAAGTTTCCGGGATAAAAAATTTCTCTAACCTAATCAATGTGAGCACGTAAAGACTGGGCATTGATGTGTACCACCTTTATGTGTTTGGGATATGGAGGAGATAAAGAGCGAGAGAGACAAACAGCAGTGGACAGTGTAGGGTGGTGGGTAGGGGAGGGGGAAGAGATAAGCCGGTCGTTGAGATGAGCACTGTGTGGCAGTGTACTCGCTAGTCTGGGTCCTCCTTGGTCCACAGATCGCGGTGTCACAACAGGTGTGTACAAGCTGTGATAACTTCAATATTTATATTTGAGCACAAACGATAGATAATCTGTTGGTTTAATCTCTCTTGTATTATTAAACATAAAATATAAAATTCGTCCCTCCCACTCAACTGACCCCTCGGTAAGTTTGCGGCAGAAAATTTAAGAATCTATTCCCTTTTAGCTAAAAAGCTCTAACTTGGCGCATGACAATTTGTATACTAGACAGTCGCTTTCAAGATTTTGAAAGACATTAAAAAATAAATATAAAAAAATTAAATCTAAGCAGAAAATATGTTGTTTCACATCCATGTGCAACACCCTAGACCTTCCAAAAGTAAACAAATGTATTCTTTAAGATATATACTCTAAAAATTCATCTAACTTCACATGTACCAGTACGTATGTGCAGACATAAGGGAGGCCAAAAGTAGAAATGTGATTTACAGTAGAACCTCTTTAATCCGAACTAATTGGGACCGGGGGTAGTTCGGACTATTGAATAGTTCGGATTACAGAACATATTGTTGTTTTTACATACCAATAGCCAGGGAAAAGTGAAAAATGCTTTACAAAGTAAAATACAGTTGTGGCGTCAACTTAGCCACATCTGTGATGCCTTTGGTCTTCACTTTAGTTTAATATTTATTATGTTACAGCTGTTGCTAGATTGTTAAAATGTTTAGTTTTTGACTATGTTATGATTCAGTACACTTCAGTATTCGTTTGTAAATAAACCATAATCAAATATTCGTTCATATAGTGGTGAAATTAATTCATACCGATTACTCACCCTATATATTGGTGACCCCGAACAACAACAACCAGAAACATGACATTCCTTCATCAATATTACCAATGTCGCTAGAAGAAATCGAAGCTCAATTGGCGAATCTACGAGAGCAACAAGATGAACTATCTACCAACGTTCAGCAACGCAACGACCCTGGTAATGTATCAGTGAATCGAGTTGCAGTAAAGCTTCCACCGTTCTGGGCCGATCGACCTAGTCTATGGTTTGCTTGCTCAGGTAGATTCCCAGTTCTCCATCTCAGGCATCACAAGTGATGACACTCGGTTCCACTACGTCGTTTCTCAGCTTGAAACATGTTACGCAGTGGAAGTAGAGGACATCATCACAAATCCACCTGCAACAAATCGTTACGCGGTACTTCGTTCGAAGCTTATTGAAAGACTGTCAACTAGTGAAGAAGAATGTGTTCGCCAGTTGATCAGCGACGAAGATATCGGAGATCGCAAGCCATCGCAGTTCTTACGCCACCTACGTACTCTGATCGGTCCAGCCCAACTACAGGACAACATCCTTCGAGCACTCTGGCTTCGTCGTCTCCCTATTAACATTCAAGCGATTATCACAGCTCAAAATGAACTTCCGCTTGACAAACTTGCAGATATAGCCGATAAAGTCATTGAAGTTTCTACAAGAACGCCACAAGTGTTAGTAAATGCTACGACAACTCGTGAACACACACAGTCTAATGACGACCTCACTGCTGCTATTACGAGACTGACGCAAAGGATTGACGCACTCGAAGTATCCCTCCGTCACGATCGTTCGACCAGTCTAAAGAAAACATCAAAGAAGCCGAATCAATATCAGCACAAATCTACAATCCAAATTTGCTGGTATCATGCCAAATTCGGGGAGCACGCGTCAAGATGTACTTCTCCTTGCTCTTACGCGGGAAACTCCAAAGACGGCCAGTAACAGCGGCGGCTGACTGTCAAGCATCCAGCCGCAGAATTTTTGTTTCGGATCAAAAGTCGAATCTCCGGTTCTTGATTGACACCGGCTCTGATGTATCATGTTATCCAAAACGTCTTCTACGAGACCGTCGCACATCTACAGACTTTGAACTAAGTGCCGCCAACGGTAGTACTATCAAGACTTACGGAACCTGTTCTATGACATTGGACCTAGGCCTTCGCCTTAGTTTTGCATGGCAGTTCACAGTTGCAGACGTCAGTGTTCCAATCATTGGCTCGGACTTCCTCAGTTACTACCATTTGCTTCCTGATTGTCGTTTGTTGCGACTTCACGATGCCAAAACTGGACTTATTACGGGAGGACAACTTTCCGTTACGACTCAAAGTAGCGTAAAATCCGTAGTCACTACTTCTCCCCTCTCTAAAATCTTACATGAATTCCCTGAAATTACTCGCCCTCCAGGATTGCCACGAGAAGTGAAGCACCAGACAGTACATCACATACACACGACTCCAGGACCTCCTGTATTCTGCCGACCACGACGACTGGCCCCTGAAAAGCTCAGCATTGCAAAGAGTGAATTTTCTGACATGGTAAAATGTGGTACAGCATGTCCATCAGACAGTCCGTGGGCTTCACCCCTGCATCTGGCGCCGAAAGGAGAAAATGGGTGGAGACCGTGTGGAGACTACCGTGCATTGAATGCACGCACCTCTCCTGACAGGTATCCTGTTCGACACATTCATGATTTTTCAAATAATCTTTCAGGCTGTAACATATTTTCTGTCATAGATCTAGTAAAAGCATACCAACAAATCTCTGTACACCCAGATGACATATGCAAAACTGCTATCACAACTCCATTCGGCCTTTTCGAGTTTCCATTCATGACTTTTGGGCTTTTGGGTGTAATGCTGGCCAAACATTCCAGCGTTTCATAGATGAAGTAACCCAAAACCTAGATTTTACGTTCAGCTACATTGATGATATTTTAGTGTTTTCCCGATCAATTGAAGAGCATGAGCAACATCTTAGGACTTTATTCAAAAGACTCCATTCCTATGTTTTTACTCACCCTATACAGTGTTTATTTAATACAGTAGTAAACATAGGGAATAAACAGTACTGTACATTACAATTGAAATAATTACGGTGCGTATATCAATAAATACAGTATACAATAAAGAACTACTGTACTGTGTGTGTATAGAGTACAGCAATGAGGCGTTCGGATTAGTGGACGTTCGGATTACAGGGGTTCGGATTAAAGAGGTTCTACTGTATATGGGTGATTTGATACAAAGGGAGAATTCCTTAACCACTATGATAGTAGTAAATAAGTTTTATCAGATGTGTTTCAAGCCTACCTAAGCAGCAGTCGGAAGGTAGCAGGTTCAATGTCTGGTACTCGAACGTCATTTTTCTCGGCAAGCCGACTGTCATGCAACATGTTGCGAAACACTCGACTTTGATTCATCAGACAAGCTTTAACTGTTCCAATCCTCTCCTAGAAATAAGGTTATTTTAAGCCCAAACTAGACCAGGGCCATATTCCCTAACAGAAAGAGTAAAAAAAAGCAATTGCCTTAGATAAATACAAAGAAAATACTGGTACAGTAGTTCATTGTTCTAATTTTCTTTTAAGCCTGTTATAGATGTGGAATTCTTTAATCCGGCCCATATACAATTAAGATTTACATAGTATTTTAGAGTTGGGTTTCACCAAAACGTTAAGAACTTTCCCTACATAAAGTACTTAATAAACCGTTAGTATCGGTAATAATTTGTTTGAGACTGTCAAGTAAACTTGTAATCTCATTGTAAAATTGTAGGCCTGTTTGATGAAGCAAGTATTTGAATTGTCCTCAATGGTTCCTTAATACATCTATATAAATGCTGTCCTTGCTGTAATTGTGTTGGTGCCATTTGAGTGTGCTAATGCTGTTTCCCTCTTTCAAAGGTATATTTTGTTTCAACATTTGTGCTCTACGCTGTAATAATGTGTTACCAGATTACATGCAATAGTTTGACTGATCCATAAGAATTATATATCTATATTTTACAGTATAAGAATGATATGTTGGGAGCTATTACGACTATTTAAACCATTGATAAATGACTTAGGTTGATATGTTCAGGTTTTAATTGATTATAAAAAATGTGTATTTAAAAGAAGATTATTTCTATTTGTTTACATATTTGTTTGCTCCATTGGGAAAACTGTGACTGCATAACTAGTTTAACTACCAGTTACTGACAATATAAAATTATGTGGTCAAATCTGACTTATTCAAACCACATCCACTCACTGATGACCCTGTGGCAGGGTTTTCCACAATGAAGAAACAATCATGAAGCCTCTCTGTTGTCAGTAAGAAATCTCCTGCCTGTTCATTATCTGGCTCAGCATCCCCATCGTTAACTGGAGCTGCCATTTCGTTATTCTTTTTATCACCTGAAATACAAAACTAATGAATGACTGTCTTAATGTTTGTTGATATAAAAAACATACTTTAGATGAATTATTATTGATGAAATTACATTAAGCAAGGGTGCAGTTGGTACCTGCCACAGCTGGTAGGTGCGGGTGCGTTCCTCTGTTCGTACCTTGTGCTCCCCACGGCGCTGATAAATTTCTTTTCTCTCCGCCACCAAAAGTTTGATGGGGATGACTCCAGCAACCACCAGGACGGCGGGTTCGGACACTGTTCGGTAGGCGGATGCAACTCTTAGTGCTGCCTGACGCTGCACTCGGGCGAGCCGCATCCTATATACTTCCTTATTGAGAGCGTCTGCCCACACCTCAGCACCGTACAAGAGTACGGACTGGACAGAAGACATTAACAGCCTTCTACGGCTGGACCGAGGCCCTCCGACATTGGCCATCAACCGGCTAAGAGAGGAGACCACCCTAGCGGCCTTGTCCGCCGTACTTAAAATCTGATCCCGCCAGCTAAGCTTGCTGTCCACCATAATCCCAAGGTACTTGGCAGAACTAACGGTCTGGACTTCGACGGCCCCTACCCTCAACGGCACGATGGTGTCAATCAGTTTTTTGTTAATATCACAATCTCAGTTTTGCTCAAAGCAAGCGAGAGACCGTGGTCTGTCATCCATGCGTTTATAGTACGCATAACTCGGTTCAGCTTTAGCTGAGCCAGCTCAACGCTACGTGAAGCTATCAAAACTGCAACGTCGTCCGCGTACCCAACCAAAACAGTTTCCTCAGTCTTTTCAGACCTCAGGAGGCTGTCATACGCGACATTCCAGAGGTCTGGGCCGAGTATGGAACCTTGGGCAGCACCGGAAGTTACACTCATCGTCCGTGGGCCCTCTGTAGTGTCATACATGAGGAGGCGGAGCCGGAGATAATCCTCTATGATACGCATGAGGTATGCCGGGATGTGGAAGGTGTTCTCCAGAGATACCTTGCTCAAAAATTATTTTGACATTGTTATAATTTTTTTTAGTTTTTGTTTGCAAAGGATTAAAATTAAAAATATTCGAATATCAACAATTAATAGTCCTAATAAGAAGCCTCTTATACAAAAAAATAACACTTAAATGTTTTGATCTATTGTGAGAATTTAATTTATTGTAGGCCCTACACTCATGTCTATGTCTGTATTTAAAAGCTGTTAAATTTGTTCTGTTAGAATTCAATATTTTAACATTAATGTCACATCAGTTTGTGTCATAAGCCACTCTTCTATTATGGCAATATAATCAGACAGCACTAGTGCATCAAGTATAGCGTTAAAACAACAAAATTTGTATATAGTTCAGTTTATCTTAATCAGCAACTTTGTATGTGATAGTAATGCAGATAATTGTGTAAGTGTTTATAACATAGTTTTAATTATAATAATTAGTTACTTACTTTGATTAATGCTAAGTGTCACAATGTGAGTTGTTTTTTCATCTATCACCACACACAAAAAAAGTGTATACCAATAAACTCACTTAATAAGTTATTTATTAAAACTCAAACACTAATTAACAGGTTTATTTTAACACATAGAGAGACCCGAGTTAAGTTTTTGGTTACTGAACTTGTCAAAGTGCTGGCAAAAATAAAACTAGGAGTGGAGTTAAAAATAGACCATCACTTCATGACAAAAATATCTTTCCTTCACATGATCTCACACATTTACTTATATTGTTGGAAAATCAATGTTATGGTTGAATTTGAGAAAAAAAATGTCATCAACAAACTTGTTTGTATAATATTACCGTTACCCTAGAGCTAAAACAATCACGTGATTTAAGTAGTCTAACCTGATGCAGAAAAACCTTTTGATACAACCACAAAACAAAAAATCCACCAGACGCAAAAAATGAAATCAAAGATTAAACAGATGAACATTTAAATAAACATATCATGAATCTGGGTTATAAGAGTCCTTGGATGGAAGATGTAGTCTACTTTTAGAACTGTGTGTGTTGTCTGTTGATGGATATCTCTGCTACCTATTGGAGTTTATTGGAACTATAGAACTGATGGGACTCTATTCCTAGAAGCTACATAAAAATGTAGTTTCTAGGTATAGAGTCCCATCAGTTCTAAGTTATAACCCTTTTCTTCCTGAATTATGAAAACATGATATTTTTTTCTCTTTTTATTTAGGATTAAATCTATATCCATTATACATGCTTCAGCAAACCTGCCGACTGAGCGAATTTCCCTTTGTCTGGATTGATTTTTAATTAATAAATTAAATTAACATTTATGTTTAAAAAGTACGGTACTGAGTTTTTTTTTAACCATACCATATTACCTATTTTTTAACTAGTATGTACCACCATGGACAAAACATACTCCCTAATGTTGGTTAGTCTATGGAACCACTCAGCCTTTTATAAATTTGTACATACTCTTAAAGCTTCTGAAATTAATTCAGTAAGAAAACTGCATCAAACTACATTGGGTGAGAAAGTTTTGCTGAACAGAAAAGTAATGGCCAGTTCAAACAAATTTAAACTCAAAAACACAGCTTACTAGTTCAATCAAGACAAACAAAAAATACAACTGTTTACTTTTGCAATAGGTATTAATTTTGAAGCACCCTGTATATTCAATTTTTAAGATACAATATATCAATCTCTAGTTTTTGATTTAGAAATAAAAAACTAGTTTTTTTTCAGCCGCTCAATATGTGGTATTGGTTACTGATTATTCTAAAAAAAGCTGACCTCCAATATCAACACAAATTTGAATCTTTCCTCATTAGTCTTTCAACATTTTCATCAAACTGTGTCAATAGGCAAGAAACAACACAAGTCAATACTGGTAAGAAAATCCAATGATTTAGACATGGTACTTACAATTATTTCTAAAAGATCAACAAATTTGATTGTTCCAAAAAGAAAATATTCCAGATTTTTCTTTATCTGATATCTTTGTGAACACTTCAATGAGGAAATATGCAGGGCAGGTTCGGTGCAAATAGATGGGATTCCCATATATTTCCTGGACAGGTTTGTAACCTTGACCCTGGAGTAGTTTAGCATCAGCTCAGTTTCTCCACCTCACCAACGCTGGGAACATCTCTAAGCCAAGTGAGTGGACAACATTTAGTTATAACCAATAGTGACCACTTCTACTTAACATGTTGTGTTAGTAAATCAGCTTTGGTCACTTAAGTTGGACAAATTTATGTTTTAAAATAGATCTTAAATTAGTACCGTAAGATAGTCTTTTCAGCTTTTAAGTTTTTCAGTCTATTTTGTTTGAATAAACCTATTAATTTATCAGCTATCTTAACATCTAGAAATGGTAATATTTTTGGACTTGTAAAATAAAATGCTTTTTTATATTTTAAGGCTCTAGAAACTAACATTATTTTTAGAAAATATAATTGCCAAAGCTAAAAGTAAGGTAGGGCATATACAATTTTGTAAATGAAAGGTTTCTATAACATAGTTGTTTTGGTACAAAAATATATAAAACGATTTGAATGTATCCATAACAAATTAAAGGAAAAACAACCACATACACTTAAAAAGAGTTTTAAGAAAATAATTCTAAAATTTTTAGCTATTTATTTTATTAATAAATTTGTTTAAACAGAATAGTGTTGAACAATATTGAAATTGACAGTTCTTAGATAAAGGACAAAAAGTCTAAGGTTATACCTGCCTTAAAGTAGGCCTAATACTCTTTTTAGAAGTAAATGTATTGTTTCCTCAAATCCTCTTTTCTGAATGTATCCCAAATAAAAATAATAATGTTAATAAAGAGAGCGAATATTTTGTCACTGACCAATGAATGAGAAAAAAAAAAATTATTGTAAGTATTTCAATAATCGATTTATATGTAACTAATCCTCCAAGAATTCACAGAAAAAGTCACATTCCAACTGCCTGATAATCAAAACACACTAACATAACAAAAACAACAGTGTTGGAGGATCTAGCTAGAGGTTATTCAGAACACCATAAGTAAACACGCTAAACAGTGCTAAAGTGGTTCATGTATAATTAGCGCTTTTTGCCCGCTCATCAATCATAAATGCTTTGGAACAGTAAAATAAATTAAATAATAATTGAAATATATTTACTGTATGATGCCTAACTGAGAAGTTTTAAAATAATGAAAAAATTAAAACATTTTGTAATATTTTAAATCTTGAAACTTGAGCACATGCCAGAGAGTCAGTTTTGCTATCTCAAAAGACTCTTTTGGGGACTTTTTTGGTCCAGTTTCCCATACCAAAACTCCTAATTTAAATAACTTAGTTCTTATACCCAGTAATTTAGTCGATGTTCGATCTTTCTTTTAATAAATGGTCTTTGGTTAAGGAAACTAGTCCATAACAGAGCATTTTACACGTATCTACACCCATCCTTTATTTTTATTGGGCTTTAGTACAAACGAGGACTCTGTTCAGGACTTTCAACAGGCGTAAACTTTCCAGCTTTGAAAGATTTCTCAGGAAACACATGTCTAATTTGACTGACTATATAAACTATCTTTGTTTACAGATGTTGCCGATATTATTAGTGCTGCTAGCAGCAGTCAGTCCAGGCATAGGTCAGTGGTCAAATGTTGGACAATGTCTAACCAATCACGGACCTCCGGCTCAGTCAGACTCTGGTGCTCGTGATGACCAGTTACGCAGCAGGCTCGAGTTCTCAATCGCTTTGTTCAAACAGGTATGCTACTACCGGTACTCTATTAAAAAAAAAAAAAATATGTTTAATTGAAGTTAAAGTTTCAGTGGTCAAGTAAAAGTGCAAGACTTGATTCCTTAGTGTTTTCTGGTCAGATAAAAATCCCTTTATGACTAATTTGATGAGTTAGAGAATAACTTATTCTTGAAAGTGGTTGGAGATGCAGGTGAAGGGGATAACAGATCTAGCTGACAGTCTTCGTATACCTTTCTTTCTGTTAAAAGATACTGTCCATGAACAACATACACTTGCCCCGATTACAGGAGAGTAGTTCACAGTACCTATGCCTACTTGATGGGAGTTTCGACGATACTGTTCATCTTTCTTTACAGTAGACTCCTCTTATCCGGACACCTTTCAACCGGACATCGGTTTAACCTGACTACACTCGGCGGAAATGACATCTCTTTAACCAGACAATTTCTATCAGCACATCGGTTTAACCGGACAAGATCGGCAGGAAGTGGGTTGTACTGAACCGACTGTTCTCCTGGGAAAGATTTGAGACCAGTGATCACGTGTCTAAATACAATATCTTATGTAATAATCATTATTGATGGCTTATATAGTATGTATTTAAATGGTCCGTTTGAGCGAGTTTTTGGGGATGTCAGTTTAATGGGAAAACCCGTTATCCGGACTGGCCTCGGTCCCGAGGAGTCCGGAAAAGAGGGAGTCTACTGTATTAAGAAATAATGCTGTTTTTGCTAAAGGCAGCAGTAACACAACATTCAGACCTATAGACAGACAGTTGTAAATAAAAATGCATGTTCTAAACCCCAAAATGGTAAGCTTAAAATTGATGAGTATGAGACAGCATGGTAGGGAGAAAATGTGGAAGACCTAAACCAAGAGGATTTCAAATTGAAGTTGGGGCTCACAGGTTTAAAGGACAAACATAGCTTTTTTACGCATACTAATCTTTTGATAAATTTACCAGTAGCAGTGGTGTGTCTGTATGTCCCATTGTACTAATCCAGCATTGTTGCAAAACAGTAGGCCTACACATTACAAAAGTTCTATGATAGCAGTATTAACTGGACAGCTGACTTGTTATATAGTACCCAAGGCTACTGAAAAAGAGGTTGCCTCAGTAGTGCGTATGACACCCGCCGACCCGGATAGTGATGCTTTTAATTCACACAGCTGTCACCTGTAAAATTTTTAGTTTTTTGTTTGTTTTTGTGAAAATAAATGAATTAAAAACAAGCAACAAAAAAAAATTATTTAACAGGTGGCAGGTGTATGAATTAAAAGCATCAACACCATCCGGGTCGGCAGGTGACATCATATGTGCGACTGAGGAACCTCTTTTTCAGTAGCCTTGTGTCTGTAAAGCCTGGGTACAATAAATACAAACATTTGTAATATGAAGGTTGTTGTTTTAATGGCTTCATTCTGAGTAAGGATCAGCTTATGATGGTTTGAAATCATCTTCCCCTTAAACCCCTAAATCCGACATAAAATATTTTGGTCTCTAGTGTTTCTAGTGTTTAATCTTCTACTTTATTTAAATCCATTCAATTTTAATCACATATAGGGGTTTTTTTACAGATAGCGAAAGGAGCGCCGTCAGAGAATGTGTTCTTTTCACCGCTGAGCATCTACAACACAATGTTGCTAGCGTACTTCGTTTCTGGGGGTCACACAGAGATGAGCCTGCGAAAGTTTCTCTCTCTTCCACCAAACCAGGTATGTTTCTTACGGGTGGACCGATGCTTCTAGGTGTTGAGATTGCTTTGGCAAAAAACTCAAATAAAAAACTCAACAGTGACAAATTATAAAAAACAATATTAAGTATGAATACAATTTAGGTTGTGTAATGTGTTAATAAATATGTGGTTTAAGTTACATTTTTTTAAAGTTATTACTAAATAATTGGTGTAAATACCTGCATTTTGTAAAGACTAGGTTGTCAATTCATAATAAGTAAATACAATGAATGAAGCAAGAAGACATCTGTACTGGCCCGTCGATGACACCTTTGTGAGTCAAAACCGGTTGCAATTTAGCAACAAATTGATCGCATAAATGCAGTTATTTACTACTCCTTATCTGTACGGTATTTAACTGCAATCAGGAGGCTAAAATTCAATATAATTTCAGTTATTGATGAAAAATAAGGGTTTCTATATACAATATTGCAAAAAAATTTAAAATCTTTGGTGACTTTGATACATAGTTCTTTTCCACTTTTCCTAGTTGTTTACTGGGGAAAATTAAAATTTCAATAAATTTCAGAATCCATGTGTTGATTGTGTAACTGTATAAATTAAGCAACACATGGCTATCAACTTTACATGGTGCATCTATAGTATGTGTGAGCTGGTGAGTCTTTTGGGTGCAGTATACATTCTTTTTGGAAAAGCGTTGCATGATCTTCAGCATCTTGAGCCATTCTTGGTTAGAGCCATTTATATGTTATATATATCAAAGTTATAAAAAAAATTTGTCCTACAATACCGAGGTATCAAAAAATGTTACTTCTTTTCAATGAAATTAAAATGAAGGTAACTTGCATATCCTCTTATTCACGTTTACTTGTAACCACCTGTAACCATACTACTTTTTATCCAGAACACTTCACCCTTGTACTCTGCAGCTCACCCCTTGCTTTGTTGGATATGATCCACTCACCGATGTGTATAGTCAATGTGGATAGGCAAATACAAGGCTAAAAAAGGCCATCCACCTCTTTTTTTATAAAAAAAAATTACCTATCCTCAATAATCTATCTAAACAGTCTTTGTTAATTGGAAAAGTTAACAATCCCATACACACACTTAATCAAATTATTTTTTTCAGGACAAGACAGATATGTACAAAGCTTACTCAGTGCACAAGCAAAATTTGTTCATTGGAAGGTACAAGTCGCAGGTTCACAGTGCAAATCGGTTCTTCATCTCTGTCCAACAAACGGTCAAAGATTGTATGGATGTCATATTTAGAGATGAGATTGAAACAGTGGATTTCTTCAATGGATTGGAGAAGGCATTGAAAAGTATCAATGACTGGGTAGCCAGTCACACAAATAACAAGATCCAAAACCTACTTTCAAAGGGTGACGTGAGTCCGGATTCTCAGATGGTCTTGGTAAGTTCTTATATTAATAATTGATTACTCTTATTTGCCTAAGTGAATTTTATTGTTACATATGCACCAATTAACGGTAAGCAGATAATGTGTACAATATTTCCAAAAGTTGAATTTAAGTTTCTTTAAAAGTTACAATAGCACTACAAGATTCTTCAAATATGGGGGAAGAGTGAGGTGGGGAGTGGTTAGAGCGCAGGACTTCGGTCCCTGAGGTTCCGGGTTTCCACCAAATTTACAAATGGATTTTATTCGAATGGTAATGCTGCAACCCCGATATCTATAGCCTGAAGTAATGAGAAAAAACAATCCTCAGCTCGTACCTAGCGTCCTAAGACAAAAAAACTACAAGATGTTTCAAATTTAGATTTAATAGTACTTAACTATGAAACATAAAAAAAATTTCTATAACCATTACTGTTGACATTGTATTTCTGCCCGGGAAAATCCAGGGTTTTCTGTTACTATTACTGTCAAATCAGTCAACATTAAATTTTTATTTTTAGATTAACCAACATTAATATAAAAGCTAGAACAAGTAGTTTACCAAAATATTATTGTTATAGTACTTGACATGTTTATATCCATGCTGATCTAATCTTTCAGGCAAATGTTGCATATTTCAAAGGCACATGGAAAAACCTATTTGATCCCATGGATACAAAAATGAGGCCGTTTCAAGTGAACAAAAGTAAAACGGTACAAGTTCCTATGATGTTTCAAATCAACTTTTTCAACCATTGTAAGTATAACCATAGATAAAACATACTCCCTCAGTAGATTTCTCATCCTTAAGGAACACCTGAAGAAAATTTTATTGTTAGTTCTGTACGGTTTATGTAGAGGTCGTGTTTAGTTTACAATTTTTTTCCTGTTATTACAGTCATTTAAAACCTCGTTTAACCAAATAATACGATCTAATCATAAACAATAACTTGTACCCTATTTATATAACCAAACAGTAAAGCACAAATCAAGAAATTAACCCTAAAATAATAGAAACAAAATTTCGTCGACACTAGCGCCCAGTACATGAACTAGACACGAAAAACGTGCTTCAAAATTTACAATGGGATGAGAAGTCTACTTGTGTTGTTTAGTCTATAGTATAACTTGGCTAAATAACTAAATTGCCTTAAAATCAAGCTAGTTATAATATTATGCTTACAATGCAATAATACGAGTACAATAACTTTACTCATGGCTATAGTGCACACATACACCGACATAGAGTTGGAGCTGACCTTAATCATCTGTAGTTTTCTGGTGGTTTAGTGTCGGATTCCACAAAACTGTAATACAGTACTTGATGAACTTGCAGCATCAAGTCTCTGAGCTCTTTCTGAGCACATTTGAATCCAAATATGAGCGAAGGTCGGGTGTAAAGTGTAGAGAGGCGGTTCCTTAATTGTGTACATATTTAGAAGAATCTTGCTAACAAGAGACATTTAAGCTACATAATCCATTAAAAGATTTCAATTATTCATAGATGTGACAAAATGCCTTTAAAGTGATATCATTGTTGAGTATTTATTTTTTGTCTGCAGGGAGGTCAGATCGTTTGGGTGCTGAGATGTTGGAACTGCAATTTCTGGGGCAAAGTCAGAACCAAAGTGACATCAGCCTCATACTGATGTTGCCTGATGAGTCCAACAAACCCAACCCAGCCACAGACCTGGTCATGAGACTAGACTCTGCTGCCCTCCTGGACATTGTGAAGCAATCCAGCGACCCCAGGAACGAGAACAAGGTGGAAGTCAAACTACCAAGGTTCTCGCTGGAGAGTTTCCTTGAGCTGACACCGGTGAGGATTTTTTATATCTTTATTGGTGATATCTTATCTTTATGGCTTTCTTGTCAAGAGATCTAGTCCAACCTTTTTTCCTCAGGGGCCAAATTGTAAATTGTTGGAGGGAAAGCTGGCCAGTCATATTTCAGTGCAGTAAGTTTACCATCCACCCCCTCATAAACATGATATATTCTTGCTTGTTTTCTACCTGCTATATTTTCATACACATTAGCCAGCCAACCTGAAGACTGGAGATCATAATGTACTTTGCTGGTTGGGAAGAAAAAGTTTAATTTCACTGATTCTGGTATAGGCTGAAAGATCAATAAATATCCTTTGTCGAGGTTTTATTCATTGACGGCATTTTATTGCCTTTTTTAAGGTCACAAAGACATCTTCATCATAGGTGACAAGTGTTGCTGCAACGGCGGGAAACAACGATATCTCCACTGTCCAGACCAAATTATATGTTTACGGGTGTTGTCGAGATTGCAGGAGTTATCGGTTACGCCAAGACCGCAATATATGTTAACAATTGTAGCCGAGATTGTAGGAGACAATCACATTATCGCCACAATATATGCTTGCGAGTGTTTCACAGACAACACATCTGACATACGATGGCATGAGATCCAACCATAACTTCACTGGGTGTTTCAGATCCTAGAAGGAATGGGAGTAGGTGACCTGTTCAAGCCATCGGCCAACCTGACTGGTCTGACAGGAGGTCCCAGTATCTCCTTCAGTAGAGCAATACACAAGGCAAAGGTAAGAAAATAAGGCCACAACTTGCATGCTGTTTTCCTTATACTTGTGGTGTGACACATCAAGGTCTTTTGTCTATGTAAGTCAAATGTATTTAATTCTTCTTTGACTTGAGCCAGTCCTTGCGTAAACTATACTCACTCGTCTATGGTTAACCTCAGCACTGCTGACTCGTAGTGGTAATTGAGATAAATATTCTAACTTGAGCCTTAGCCTCAAGTAAAATATTAGATTATAATAATAGTTTTATTGTAGGCTACCTGATTTGATTTTCAGATTTGACAAAGACAAAGGTACATACTTTAGAATGCTGTCTCAGTTAGTATATGAACTACTAACACTTATAGTATAAAATGGTGGTGGAATACTGTTAAAGTAAGTCCTAATTGACTGTTAAGTTATAACCAGTTATGTTCTCTGACAACACACTAATGTTCGTTTGCATTCATTGAAGAGAAAGCAAAATACAAGGCAGGTATCTAATTAGTTTTGTTAATTAAATATATTCGGTATCAAACTTCTCCCTTTTCTCAGTTTTATCCTTCTAATCTAGCTGTATTAAACACAATCACAGAAAGTTATCAAATATTGTCCTTAGAGCTTTTGATTCCCACCTCAAAATTATTTTCTAGTACAAAAATTGAGTTCCCATATTCTTTGAGAGTTGGCATTACTTATTGCACAGTTTGATGTATGTCCTAAGGTGAAAGTGGACGAGTATGGAACTGAGGCTGCCGCGGTGACTGTGGTGTTGGATGACAGGATCTCTGGGGACAGCTTCTCGTGTGATAGACCCTTTGTGTACCTGCTGTACGACAAGAAGGTGGAGACACTTCTCTTTGCTGGGGTCTACAACTACCCACAATAAAATGAGTTAATTTCTTGACTTTTAGGACAAGTAGACATTCCGTTCCATATTTTTAAAGCTATATTAAGGCTGTAGCTAAGTTTTAAAATAAAAATCATCATACCGGTAGTTCAGTGGAATTGAGCCGCAGACAAAGTGCGCCGATGTCAAGTAGGCTACTGATATCTGTTTAGTAGGACTATTGAATTTTAAAAGTAGCACGTTCTGTGAAGGGTAGAGTGCAGGACTTTGGTCCCTGAGGTCCCGGGTTCAAATCCCACTAATCACCAATGGATGTTATCTAAAGATTTATGCCGCAACCCCTAAGTCTATCTTGACATAATGTGAAAACAATCCCAGGCTCGTGCCTGGCATCCTAGGACAAAAAAAAAAACAAAAACACTGAACCATGTTAATTTTGAAAATGTGCTACAGCTTTGTATAGATGGGGTGTCTACTTCAATTTAGTATTGAAAAATCAACCATCAATCACAAGGTTTCGTTGAGATTAGATTGAAAATATTAAAATTCTAATAATTTACTGTGTGTACTAAAGTAGAAGCTTGTCACTATTAGCATTGACAATGACAGAATCAATGTTCAATCAATACTAATAACTTTATCGTAATGTAAACAAAGAGAACTATGACAAAAATTCAAAAGATTAACCATAGATACACTAACCAACACATGTACACTCCTCATCCCATTTTACATTTTGAATCTTGGTTTTTGTGTCTAGTTCAAGTTGGTGACACTGATTGCTATTCAATGAAATTTGGTTTCTATTATTTTAGGGTTAATTTCATAGTTTGTGCTTTACTGTTTGGTTACATAACTAGAGGACAAGTTATTGCTTATGGTTAGATAGTTTTATTTAGTTAAACGAGGTTTTTTTTTTAAACGACTGGAATAACAAGAAACAAATTGAAAACAAAATACAGCCCCTTCAGTGCACTGGACAGAACTAACGATAAAATTGTCTGCCGTTTCTGTAAGGATGGGAATCTTCTAAGTGTACTGAAGGAAAAGTAAAAAAACAATTATAAATAAAAACAAATGTAAAAGCAGCAAATATTCAATGTTTTAAAATATGATGAAATACAACCCTTTTATTAAATTTTGGCCCGTGCCCTTAGGAAAAAAAAAACTAAGTATGCAGTTGATAAGTGTGCGGCTTAAAGCTTTCTCAAAATATGTGTGTTTCTTATCAACGTAATAAAATGCCAGCTAGTACTCAAAGATGTAGATAGTGTTTTGTTAACTACTGACCTTTGCTTTATATGAAACTATGTATTTACAGTATTTGATTAATTACGTGGTAATTTAGTACTGGTAGTTATCAGATTTATATTGGTAACTGGTAGAAAGAAATGTTGACGAAATTAAACTCTTAAACGTAGACAGCTCAGCAGAATACAGTAGATAGAATGTCTACTTTAGTACACATGAATGGTTCTATCCGCATTACAGAGATATTTAGTTTTAATAATACAATATGTTTTCGACATGTCAAAAGGACAAACTTTTCATGGATATTAAAATAATTTTACATACAAACCAGTGAGTTTATTTCCTAAAAGTTCATCTCTAATGATATTAAAGATAGAAGTCCTAAATTGTAGAACAATGATGAAACGCTAAAGGAAAATTACTGCCAGAAATTACGATGAGTGTTTCTTTAAGGTTTTGGAGATAAGGGGACTAACTTTATTAAAACACATAATTTCTTACTTGTCTGTATAATGCATACAACTGTTTCCTGATCCTTCGTCTACCTAGAACAAAGTCCAGATTTTTGCTCCCAGTGACATTTTGTTACCAGTAGGGTACGGAGAGGAAACACACGAACATACAAGTAGGATACGCTATACTTGGGTCCGCCAATCAGAGAGCAGCATTTCATCCCCACCCCTCCCCCTAGGCCACGCCCCCTGGTGTCCCACGTGGTCTAACCTCACTTTTATTTTCGCGCCAAACGAAAAAAACCTGACTTCTTCTCCACCAATTCCCGCCAAACGAAAAAAGAACCTCACCTTCCCGCCAAGTAACATAACCTAACTTTCGCGCCAAACGAAATAAACCATACCTTCCCGCCAATTCCCACCAAACGAAAAAAAACCTCACCTTCCCGCCAAATGAAAAAACCACACCTTACCGCTAAGTAACATAACCTCACTTTTATTATTGCGCCAAACAACGTAACCTCACCTTCCCGCCAAGCCTCACTTTACGTATTGCATATGTATTGCCAACTTATATAACTCCGTAATGATCAACTCTTGCCGAATGAAATAACCTCCACTGATTAATGACTGAATAACCTCCACAAAGCTGTGTCCTGAATGATTACACAGATTGTTTGGTCTAAAATTTGTTTTAATGCTACTATATATACATCTACGATTTATATTTACATACTTCTAAAAATATTTACAAACACTACAAAACTTCTTCTTCTTCATCATCACGGTTCTGTAACAAAACAAGGAAGTGTTAATGGTGTGTATCCTGGTTGCTGATTGGTTGTAATAAGCTTGTACCTGATTGGTCATAAATAGGTGATCTGTTGTGTGATTGGTCAATTTTTACTATTTAAACTTTTCGGTACTAATTTTCTTTCACTTTGCTCTTGGCAATTGAACGTGTTGGATGTGTGCTCTTGTGTTTGATGTTTTGAGGTAATGTTTGAAAGTTATTTCTGGTGTTAAATGTTAGCTTGATTATTTACGGTACATCAGTGGTAAGTGAACTTTGTTTTTTTATTGTAACGTATTGTGCAATCGGTGTGCTATATTCAGCTTTGTGTGCACGCAGCTGTATCCCCACCACATCTTGTGTCTCAGTGTTGTAGTGTGCAATTGGTGTGCTATATTTAGCTGTGTGCGCGCGCAGGCCGTGTCCCCACTAGATCTTGTGTCTCCGTGTCCCTTTTACTTTGCTCTAGGCGTTTGACGACGATGGATGTTAGTATGGCTGATAACGTATCTGATGAAGTAGTTGAACCCGTAAAAGTAGTTGAGCCTGTTAATTTGATTAGTACTGATCAAACTTATGTAAATAAATTTAGATTGTATGGTAGTAAAACTGTATTTAAATTCACCAATCCGCCTCCAGAGACTAATGAGATTGATTGGTTGAGACAAGGGTTTGCACGAATTGTAAATAGTACGAAAAAGCAAGCTTTTGAAAATGATCAACTTGGGTTTACTTTGGAGAGTCTCAACTTGAAATCAAAAGCACCTGGCTATGTAAATTTTCGTCCGGCTACTGAAATTGATGAAATTGTTTTGTGGCAAATCTTTGGTGGTATTGTGCAATCAAACTCTGAATCCATCAAATCTACTGACACCTTTAAAGTAGAATGCACTAGAATTAATCTTCCTGTAGGTTCTGGGAGGTTAAGGCCAGGGTTTTACAATACGTTTGATGAGGAATGCAAGTCAAGACGGGGAATTGTTGTCATTAATAATAAAGATAAATTGTGTCTACCTCGTGCAATTGTAGTGGCTATTGCTAATCTAACTAAAGATCCTGAATATAAAGCTGTGGGGCAAGATAAGGCAAATAGGCAAACAGTTAGGGCTCAGGAACTTGTGCGTTGAGCTAGGGTTGTAATGCCCTAGAGGGTGGAGTTGGGATCCCGGAACTTGAAAAATTTCAGGGGTTTTTAAGGGATTACAAAATTGTTGTGTACAACTATGACAGGAAAGGACGTGATGTTTACTTTGAGGGAAATGTAGAAAATGCAAAATTCACACTAAATTTACTGTTTCACGATGGACACTACAATCTGATTAATAGTTTGACTGCCGCTTTTGTTTGTGCATATTTTTGTGAAGCTTGCCACGTCCCGTATGATCACAAAGGAGCCCACCGCTGCTCAAACATTTGCCTACAGTGCCGGACTATTTCACCCCCTTGTGTAGAGGAACATGGCGGTATTCTGTGCCCTAAATGTAACATGACTTATAAAAACCAGAGATGTTTTATTGCACATCAAGCTGACAAGTGTAAAAATGTAAAGAAATGTCTTAATTGTGGAAAACTGGTCTGGATTAGAGAACGGTCCAAGCCTCACAAATGTGGTGAAGTATACTGTAAACCATGTGGTTCATTTGAAGACCCTAACCACAAATGCTTCATGAAACCTGACACGAGAAAGCCTACCTAAGTCAAAAGATTTTATTTTTATTTTCTTTGACTTGGAAACCCGTCAAGATGAGTCTCTGCCCTCAGATCCCGAGTCTAAATTGCATCAAGTAAATTTGTGTGTATCCCAACAGTTTTGCTATCAGTGTATTGAGGCTAAATTTTGTATGGCTTGTAAAAATTGTATGCGAGTGTTTAGTTCTGAACCAGTCACTCAGTTCATGGACTATGTGATGCAAGTCCGTAAAAATTTCAAAGATGTCTGTGTCATTGCTCACAATGGGCAGGGCTTTGACTTCCAATTTTTGCTCAAGTATGTGCTAGAATATACAAAGTTCACCCCGAAACTTGTAATGCGGAGAACTAAGGTAATTTTGATGGAGATTGACAATGTGAGGTTTGTTGATTCACTTAGTTATTTCCCTATGTCTCTTGCTGCCCTGCCCAAGGCCTTTGATTTGCCTCCAGAAAAGAAGAAAGGCTATTTTCCCCACCTCTTCAACACCCTTGAGAATCAAAATTATGTGGGCCCTATGCCAGCAAAGGAGTTTTACTGTCCAGAATCTATGTTTGAAAAATCACAAATATTTTGAAAACTGGTATAATGATCAGGTTGCAAACCGCGTTACATTTGACTTTAAGAAAGAAATCCTCGAGTATTGTATGTCTGACGTTGATATCTTGGCTCAAGCTTGTTTAAAGTTCCGTTCAATTTTCCTGGAAGAGTGTAATGTGGACCCGTTTCTCGAGGCTGTGACCATTGCCAGTGCTTGTAACCTGGCCTTCCGTCGGAACTTTTTGAAGAAAAATACTATCGGCATCGTTCCTAAAAACGGCTATAGGCTTACAGACGCCCAATCGGCAGTCGCGTTACAGTGGCTAACGTGGGAAGAGGAGAAACATGGAGTTAGAATTGAACACGCTGGCCGTGTAAAAGAGGTTAAGATCAATGGAATGAAAGTTGATGGGTATGATGGTCAAAATATTTATGAATTTCAAGGCTGCTACTTTCAGGGCTGTCCTAAATGCTTTCCCTATGATCGTGAACTTGCTTTGAAAGAGGACCCCTCTGACTCACTCCATTTGCGGTATGAACGGACTAAATCAAAAATAGCAAAACTGGGTGATAACGTCGTACAAATGTGGGAATGTGAGTTTAGACAGTTAAAAAAAAACCTGAAACATCTAGACAAGTTGCCGATCCTCAACAATTTACCCCTGAATCCGAGGCAAGCATTTTTGGGGGGTCGAACCGGTAATGCCAAAACCTATCACAAGTGTGTAGAGGGAGAAACTATTGAATACGTTGATGTATGCTCTCTCTATCCTTGGGTATGTAAATACGGCAAGTACCCTGTAGGCCATCCGACAATCTATGTAGGTGACAGAGAGTGTAGGCAGAGAGGTCTTAATGTCGAAGGCCTGTTAAAGTGTAAAGTACTCCCACCACGCGATCTTTACCATCCTGTGCTCCCGGCCAAAATGAATGACAAGTTAATGTTTGTTTTGTGCGCGACTTGTGGAGATGGTGAGATTCAAAGTGATTGCGACCACGAAAGTGGTGACAGAGCACTAATTGGAACCTGGACCGTGGACGAAATTCGTAAAGCCGTAGAAAAGCCGTGTAAAGCCGTTATGTTGTACTCGACATGTATGAACTTTGGGAGTATAAGGTAGCCACATATGAAAACGGTGGATTGTTCACTGACTTTATAAATAAATTTTTAAAAAAGAAACAGGAAGCGTCTGGGTTCCCTAGTTGGTGTGAAACTGATGAGGACAAAAACAAGTACATTGACGACTATTTTAAGAAAGAGGGCGTCCAACTGGAAAAAGACAAAATTGTAAAAAATGGTGGCTTGAGGTCTTTGGCTAAACTGATGTTGAACTCGTTTTGGGGAAAATTTGGACAGCGTGAAAATCAGACCAAAGCTACAATCGTCAGGGACCCCAAAACACTTTTCAAAATGTTAACCAGTCCTGAAATAGATGTAAATAGAGTATAGATTGTCAATGATGAGGTTCTTGTTGTAAGCTGGGAGTACATTGATGAGGTTGGGGAGCCATTGCAAAATGTAAATGTCGTGGTGGCTGCTTACACCCCTGCCCAAGCGAGATTGAAGCTCTATGAGCATCTAGATGCTCTGGGTGGTCAAGTGTTGTATTACGATACTGATTCTGTATTATATGTATATAAGGGTGGTTTGTACAAAGTTCCCACGGGAGACTATCTAGGGGAAATGACTGATGAGTTGGCCGAGTATGGACCAGGTTCATACATAACAGAATTTGTATCTGGAGGGCCAAAAACCTATGCATACCTCGTGTGGTCAACAAACAAACAAAAATTGATTCCTGTATGTAAAGTAAAAGGGCTTACATTAAACATGAAAACTTCTAAAAAGATTGGA